TTTTTTTAGCTGTGAGCTTTGCTGTGTTCCTAGGTGCTATGTTTCCATCTTACAGCTAGGGTCGTGTGAGGTCCTCCAGCACAGGGTTACTCTAGGTTGACCTCTGTGAGGAAGCCATGTTCTACACCATTCACGTTGAATGCCTCTCACAGAGCTGTCTGGTTTGACTAGAGCTTTGGTGCATTGTTGAATCAAACATGTGTTATTTCTCCCTGCATTCCATTAATATGATATAGCATATTAATAGATTATTGTCTGTTGAACCATCCTTGCATTCATAGATTAAATCCTGCTTGGCTGATGTCTAATCCCACTTGTACTTGATAATTTGCTCAATCTTGAGTGTTTCGCATCAATATTCACCAAAGACTTTGTTCTGTAGTAATGTATTTTTATATAACCTAGTCTCTAGACAACTCACAGAACCCAATACTGGGCAACCTCTGGGTAAATAGTTGTTAAACTCTCTTGTTTAGGGAACCATGATAAGAAAAATGACCATTACAGACTTGTTTGTTCCTCATTTTCAATCCAAAGGCTGATCAATTCCATGAATGCCAGCCAGTAGATTAGAGGGCAAATTTTGTTGGTTTTTGTTTTTTTTTTCCTAGTTAAACCCCACGTAGCAGTGTGAAAGTCTCAGGAGTTGATAATCCAAAGCCCTCTCCAGCCCTGTGCTGCTGAAAAGCCCTGAATTCCTAAAGGCTAAAAAATAAGTAAGGTATGAAACACAAGTCAGAGCTAAGGAGACTAACCAACACTCTGAGCTTCCCAGTGCCAAGGCCAACTACAGATAAAAGGGAAGCACAGGAGTCTTGAACTCTTGAGCTACATACAGAGGAGGAAGAAAGCCAGACTCTCAGAGTGCACAGCTTTCCCAGGGATGGCCTTAGAAGACCGGGTGTGTCAGGAACCATGTGTACGGGTGTTGTGCAAGGGATATCGAAGTAGAAGGCACAGGGCCCGTCTAGGCCTGGCCCCTTCTCTTAGTGGCTTGTGATAACCCTGAGGGTGTGCCAATAGCTTGTGGTTCTGGTTTATAGGCAGCCATGGCCCCCGAGGGACACTTGCTGATTGCATTTGTTCAAGGTACCATAGAAGAGTAACAGCAGTGTGGTGTTCCTGCTGGACCTTTCAGTGAGGGATTGCTTAGTGTTCCAGGTTATGTTGGAGGCAAAGCTCAGTGCCATGTGACAGATGAGGACACTGAGACTTGGGGAGGTTCCCAATATCACAATCCCTTAGTAGAAAAACAGAAGGGACTGTTACCTTTTCCTTTTTGAGAATTGGGGTGTCTGGCTCTGGTACTCTGCCCAGTATGGCAGAGCTGGACCTGTTAGTTTCCAGGTAGCACCCCTTCAGTCCTTGCAATAGATCTAGAAGCCAGTAGCCGCCTGTGTTACAGACAGACAGTGGTTTGGGGCTGTTCCACAAGTGACTTGAGTGGTGAGGAAACCCTGCAGAAGCTTCTGGGGACGTGGGGAGTCAGTCTGGCTGCTGGCAGACATTGCCCTGCTTTGCATTTTTTTCTGGGTAAGAAGAGGATGGTGTCCTGGTTTTGTTTCCTGTTGCTGCTGTGAAAACATCCTGACAAAGCAACTTAGAGGAGAAAGGGTTTACTCCAGCTCACCATTCCAGACTATGCTTGGTCACTGTGGAGAAGTTAAAGTAGCAGGAACTTAAAGCAGCTGGTCACAGCCATAGAGAGAGAGTGAGAACATGCACGCTTTGTTCACTCTCTGCAGTGCAGGGACCAAACCCAGGGATGGACCAAACCCAGGGATGGTGCTGCCCACAGTAGTTAACGCAATCAAGACAACTCCACAGACATGTCCACAGGCCACCAGAATCCCCACACTGAGACTCTCTTCCCATGTGATTTCCAATGCCATTGTGTCAGGTGGTAACTTGACATATCATGACGTAGCTTTCATGGAGTCTCAAAAACAAACACAGCTGGGCTTGGTTGCGCACACCTTTAATTCCAGCCCTTGGGAGGCAGAGGCAGATGGATCTTGGTGAGTTCAGGGCTAGCCTCATCTACAGAGTGAGTTCCAGGTCAGCCAGAGGTACATAGTGAGACCATGTCGGAACACAAATAGAATAAAACAAACCCCAAGCTCCACAGAGGAGACATGGTAGCAGCTTTTGACTGAACCCCAACCAGGGACGTCAACTTGGTGTTCCTGAGAGGGTAGGGTGTTCCAGCCACCTACCGTCCCTGCATGGTGACTAGGATTTGTGTCTCTCCCACCACTGCTCATGGTTGATTTTCCCAGTGGTTGATAGGAGCCCCTGGGTCTCGTGTGGAGCTGGGAAGGGTTGCAAGCAGGGTGCTATGCAGTGCTGAGAAGTCCACCTGCAGTTTTCTGATGCCTCGGCTGAGAGTGAGTGAGCAGGTGGGTGGGTGACTGACTGAGTGAGTGAGTGAGTGCATGCGTGTGTGTGTGTGTGTATGTGCCCACGTGTGTGTGTGCGCGTGTGGGTGGGTGACTGACTGGGTAGGTGAGTGAGTGAGTGAATGTGAGTGCATGCGTGCGTGTGTGTGTGTGTGTGTGTGTGTGTGTGTGTGAGTACGTGTGTGCGCGTGTGGGTGGGTGACTGACTGGGTAGGTGAGTGAGTGAGTGAGTGAGTGAGTGAATGAGTGAGTGTATTACTTGAGGCATTGTTGTCAGATTAGAGAGACATCTTGGGGAAACTGAGGTCTCAGATTAGAGAGACATCTTGGGGAAGCTGAGGTCACTGCTGGTGATGGACAGGCAGAGTGACCTAGCTGTCTCAGAGCCACATCCTCCCTTCCTGTGGTCAGTGGTGTGCAAGCAGGCACGTGGTGGGCTGACAGGGTCAGGACTGTCTGCTGCTCCTAAAACCCTGTACCTCTCGTGTTGTGGTCTAGCTGGGGGAAGAGCCGCAGCAGCCCCCTTTAGAGCTAAGTTGAGTTCAGATACTTGAAGGCACCCTAAGGAGACGGGGATAGGAGGGTGTGGGGGCATGGGCCCAGCATCCTCATCTTCACATCACGCAGACGCCTCTAGAACAGTGATTCTCTACCTGTGGGTCACAACCCTTTGAGGGTCAAATGACCCTTCCACAGGGGTTGCCTAAGGCCATGGAAAGGCGCAGAAATTTAAGAATCATATCAGTAGCAAAATTACAGTTATGAAGTATCAGTGAAAATAATTTTATGGTGGAACATGAGGGACTGAATAAAAGTGTCACAGCCTTAGGAAGGTTGAGAACCACTGCTCTAGAGAGTCAGACTGGGGCCCATCATAGTCCTGCAGTGCCTTCTCCCTCGGTGTTGGCGAACTGGTGGGGGCCACCTGGGTCACGGCGGGATGTAGCTCTCCTGTTTAGGAGACCCAGCTTCCCTGTCAGCCCATGGTCCTGGCTCTGCCCCTGCTGAGTCTTGTCACTGGGACTGGAGCTGGAAGCTAGAAAGTATCCATAGAGTATCCATGACGGTGGTGTCGCCACTCAGGGAGGATGACAAAGATCTGTTTAGAGTGCTTCAGGAAGAGCAGGGATGAGAGTGAGAGATCGCCTGTGCACTGTCCCTCAGTGCCTTGCAATAGCTGCTGCTGGTTTTCCCCCAGCCTGCCACCTGTTAGGTGTGCAGTTAGATCTGTGTGCTGGACGGACAGATGGACGGATGGACAGACAGATGGACAAATGGATGGGCAAATGTCCCGGGAGTTAGCAAACCTGCTGTCCAGTCTAAGATCTGCCACCAGTCTTTATGGCCTTGATGGGACACACTTCTTTCTTGGCCTCAGGCTGTACAACTGAGCTGAACACACACACCCCCATGATGTTCTGATGGTCTGAGTCAGCTAGGGCAGGACTCTGGCAGGTGACTTTGGCTTAGGGTTCTGTGAGGCAATGGCCACCCAGAATATGGTGAGGAGGTTCTCTGAGGCTCTTGGCCTCAGAGCATAGGAAGGGAGGTAGTGTGAGCACAGGAAGGGGATGGTGTGAGCACAGGAAGTGGATGGTGTGAGCACAGGGAGTGGGATGATGTGAGCACAGGAAGTGGATGGTGTGAGCACAGGAAGGGCATGGTGTCAGCACAGGAAGGGGATGGTGTCAGCACAGCAAATGGATGGTGTGAGCACAGGAAGGGCATGGTGTCAGCACAGGAAGTGGATGGTGTCAGCACAGGAAGTGGATGGTGTGAGCACAGGAAGTGGATGGTGTGAGCACAGGAAGGGGATGGTGTCAGCACAGCAAATGGATGGTGTGAGCACAGGAAGTGGATGGTGTGAGCACAGGAAGTGGATGGTGTGAACACAGGAAGGGGTGAGCACAGGAAGGGGATGGTGTGAACACAGGAAGTGGATGGTGTGAACACAGGAAGGGGTGAGCACAGGAAGGGGATGGTGTGAGCACAGGAAGGGGATGGTGTGAGCACAGGAAGGGGATGGTGTCAGCACAGCAAGTGGATGGTGTGAACACAGGAAGGGATGAGCACAGGAAGGGGTGAGCACAGGAAGGGGATGGTGTGAGCACAGGAAATGGATGGTGTGAGCACAGGAAGGGCATGGTGTGAACACAGGAAGTGAATGATGTGAGCACAGGAAGGTGTGAGCACAGGAAGGGCATGGTGTGAGCACAGGAAGGGCATGGTGTGAGCACAGGAAGGGGATGGTGTGAGCACAGGAAGGGGCATGGTGTCAGCACAGGAAGGGGGATGGTGGGAGCACAGGAAGGGGGATGGCACAGGAAGTAGGATTGACTCTGGGTGGGCTGGAAGGACATGTGGGACATTAGGCCTGGCTGCTGAAGCTGTTGCTGAAGCTTTGGGTTTTGTGGTAACTTAGTTTTTTGTTTTTGGAAAGATAAAGTGCCCATGGCATCCTCACTGGGTATCAGAGGCTCCTGTGAGGATGGGAATGGTAGGGAGGACATAGGCAGATGATTGCAGCCCTGGCAGGGAAGGGGGGAGCAGGCACTGAGGCACAGGACCCCTGCTCATTGCTCCGCTTTGTGTTTCCTACAGATCATGATTGAGTTCTGTCCTGGGGGAGCTGTGGATGCCATCATGCTGGGTAAGTCATGCATTAGCCCCTAGGGATGCAGGACTTGCCCTGAGCCCTGTGTGTACCCCTGGCCAGCTCTGACTAGTCCCTGTCTCCCTTCTAGCTCCCTGTCCTTTTTTGGGATATGAAGAGGATGCTGGCCTTTCACTGGAGAATTAGCGTTTCATGTTCAAGAGTCTGTGTGTCTTTATAGCTGCTTACCCTTTGGAGCCTTCTTGATGGCCTTCCCAAATGTAGGACAAGGAATGTCTTAATCTGTTACTACCACTATCACAGAGCACCCGCAGCTGGATGAGTTATAAAGAACAGGTATTGAGCCAGGTGCTGGTGGCGCACACCTTTAATCTCAGTACTTGGAAGGCAGAGGCAGGCGGATCACTGCGAGTTCGAGACCAGTCTGATCTACAGAGTTCTAGGACAGCCATGCTACACAGACAAATCCAGTCTCAAAAAACAAACAAATAAGCAAAAAAGAAAGGATAATGGTTTGGTTCATGCTTTTGAGGCTGGGAAGTCCAAAAGCAAGGCCCCAGTATCTGGCAAACATCCCAGGTTGAAAGCAGGAGGAAGAGTGTGAGAGAAACAGAAAAGGGGCGTCGTCGGGAACCCACTTCTGTGAGAACAAGCCGACCTCACAACAGCATTAGCCCATTTGTCAGGGGAGAGACAGTGATCTCCCCGCAGCCCTAAGCTCAGCCTTTCAGGGACCCGTTCATTACAGCACGCACCCTTTTTGAAGGTGCTCAGGAGGAGGATTACCAGGTCTCGATGTCCTTGGTTGATATCAATGCTAGTAAAATATTGTATCTTAGTTTTTTCCTTCTGCTCCAACAAAACACCTGAGTCTGGATTCTGTAAAGAAGAGAGGTTTGTGAGGCTCTGTTTTGGAAGATGAAAGTTAACCACGGTGGGGGGGGGTAGAGGGGTGAGCTTCTAAAGGCCTTATGATGGAGTCCCAATGTGGAGAGAACATGCAAGAGATAATATGGTAAGACAGAGGTCAGGGAGCTTAAGGGGAAGGCCTTGCTTGTTTTGTCTGTCTATTTGTTTATTGAGACAGGGTCTCGCTATGTAGCCCTGGCTGTCCTGGAAATCACTATGTATTCCAGGTTGGCTTTGAACTCACAGAGATCCTCCTGCCTTTGCTTCAGGAGTGCTGGGATTAAAGTGTGTGCCACCATGGCCAGCCCCTTGCTCTTTTTATAATATCTGACTCCTGCAAGTTTTATCTAACATCAGGCTTATTCCTTCTGATATCAGGGCTCCCTTGGCATAATTACCTTGATTTAGGCCCCGCCTCTTAAAGTATCTACCACCTGCACATCCCACACTAGAAACCAGCACATAAGCCTTTGGGGGATAGCATCAAGCCTTATCCCACACCAGAGCACTTTGCACACCTAAGATGTATCTCATTGATCTTTGGTTATAAATCCGGAAACAGTACCTCTCTGTGTGTGTGTGTGTGTGTGTGTGTGTGTGTGTGTGTGTGTGTGTGTGTGCGCGCGCGCGCGTGCACATGTATGTGGATTTTGTGTGTGGTGTGTGCTGGCCTCTTAACTAATTCTGATGCTCCTACTTCCACCTCTCAAGCTGGAATTACATTTGTGTGCCATTTCTCCAGCCCCTAAAAGGACACTTTTAAGTGCAAACCCAGTTGCATGCCTGGCTACCCAGAGCCACCTGTGGATTTCATGTTGAATCCCCAGTTGCATGCAGCCACCACAGAAAGGGCACACAGTCCTATTCTATAGGACCCTGCCATCTTCCCATATAGCCTGATTCGGTAGTCATACCATACCATGTCTTCGGCACAGCCATTCCCTTTTCTAGAATGTTCTTTTTCCTCACCACCTTCTCAGGTCTGTTAATCCTTGAACCTCGGAGGAGGGCTCTGTCTCCGAGCAAACATTGTATGGTGGGAAGAGTCCCCAGCCAGCATGCAGAAGGGCTGACCTGCTGGCCCTGGCCCCTCCTACATTCCTGATGCTCCCACCAGCTGTAGCAGCCTCCAAGCCTTTGCTCCTTCTGGCTCCTTGACCTGGGCCATCTGCAGTCCACGGTCAGACACTCCTGCCTCTGGGCCTCCCGTTCGTTCAGATGGGATTGCTGCATATCCTGGCCTGTCTGTGCCCATCCCCACCCTGTCCTAAGCATCACTCTGCATCTACACCAAGCCCTGACCCTGAGAATCACCCACTCTGAGCTGTGGCTTGAACATGTCCCCCAAAGCCCATGTGCTGCAAACTCAACCCTCATATTCACCCACAAATGGAGTTTGGAGGTGGGCCTCTGGGAGGGAGTTAGGGTCATGGTGGCATGAGTGGCATGCTGGTACTCTTGCTATCTTGCCATGTGGTACAGCACATGATGTCTTATGATGTCATGCTGTTGGGACTTCTAGCCTACAAAACCATGAGCCTTTTCTGTATCAGCAAAGTAAACCAAGGCTTCTCCAATCCTGCCACATGTGCCCTGCATCTCGGTGTGCTGTTTGTAAGCCTGAATTCTGAAGCCTTGGGTCTCTAAAGGACCTTCATCAAGTAGCCCCTCTGATCCTTGATGGCCACTTCTGTGCACTAGGGAGAACAGTGGTGTTGTCCCCATGCACATGTCCTGGGGACTGGATTGGTCTATATGTCACAGACTCTGATGATGCTCCCAACTGCTGGCCTGGTATAAGGTCTGGTGGCAACCTAGGAAGGGCCTGGTGCTGGTCTGGCAAGTGCTACTCAGTGACAAGTATTCCTCTTTTCCAGAGCTAGACCGAGGCCTCACCGAGCCCCAGATTCAGGTCGTATGCCGCCAGATGCTGGAGGCACTCGATTTCCTGCATGGCAAGAGGATCATCCACCGTGACCTGAAAGCCGGCAACGTGCTTATGACCCTTGAGGGTGACATCAGGCTGGGTAAGAAGGGTTTCTGGGTGAGGACCTGAGGGGTAAGAGGTGTCAAACTGCAGGTGTCCTGGCTGCTGGTACCACACGGCCTTCGCAGCAGTAGGTGGCCTAGGCCTGGTGATGGTGTGGGATCCTCACTCCCGCAGTCACCCCTATAGCTTCCAAGGCCCCAACCGTCCTCCCCTGCATCCTTGGACCACAGGCTAGTCTAGTGCTTTTCAGTGAGGGGCAGGGATCATTTGACAGCATGGAAACAACTGGGGCTGAAGGTGTTGCTTGACCCTTGAGGGCCGAGACCAGGGATGCTGGCCAGTACCGTGTGGTATATACAGTAGCCAGGATGCCAGAGCCTGACCCTAGCTTCCAGTTTGACAAACTCAAATGGGAAAGACCCTTTATCTAGGCACTTTTACCCACTGGGCCATCTTGCTGTTTTCCCCCGAATATTTTCAGTACACTATTGACCGTATCCACAAATACACCCTTGAGTGTGATGGAATGTAAACCAGGTATCAAAATTGATTTTTTTCTTGTTTGGTCTCTTCTTTCCTTGTATTCTTCGTAAGTTTGTTTTCGTTTGGTTTTGGCTTTTCCAGGCAGGGTTTCTCTGTGTATCCCTGGCTGTCCTGGAACGCAGTTTGTAGACTAAGCTGGCCTTGAACTCAGAGGTTCGCTTGCCTCTGCATCCCGGGTACCGGGACTAAAGGTGTGCGCGTCCAGCTTCTTTGTGAGTTTTCAGCCAGACATCACTTGTGCTCCTTTTGCTCCCACTGCTTCCTGTTGTCCTTCCCCAGAGGTGTGGCTCTGAGCGCCACTCACACTTCCTTCAGCACCGTTAAGTAATGTGCCTGCTGCCTGTGAGGGTGCCATTTAATGGACAGCTCATCACAGTCCCCAAGCACAGGAGGGTTAGGTGACAGAGCCCGGAAGTACCTCCAGCTGCTTTATCTGGCCACGCCCTCCACTGGGCCAAGGCGTCTGCTGGCGCTTGTGTATGTATCCTAGTAACTGCTGGATTTGGGGTGTAAGTGGAGAGTAGGGGGTGGCACCCCGGTTCTGACTCATTTGGTAGCATTCCGCTCCGTTGCCTAGTGATGGCTGATGCTAGTTCACTGCTCCATTCCCCACTCTCAGCCTTGTCCTTCCAACATAGAAGTGTTGGCCTTTGTACTTCCTCTGCTGGGTGCCTCAGTGTTTTAGGGACATGGAAGAAACAGTGCCAGCCGGGCGTTGGTGGCACACGCCTTTAATCCCAGCACTCGGGAGGCTGAGGCAGGGGGATCTCTGTGACTTCGAGGCCAGCCTGGTCTACAGAGCGAGTTCCTGGACAGCCTCCAAAACAATACAGAGAAACCCTGTCTCGAAAAAACAAAACAAACAACAACAACAAAAACCCAGTGCTTTGGAGCCCCCATGAGAACTGCAGGGGTAATATGAGGGTGGGTGCAGAATGGGCACAGTCAGTCAGAGGGTGCTCTGAAGTGTTTGGCGGAAGGCTCAGAGAGGGCAGGGGCCAACCGTAGGACACACAGCTGGCAAGAACAGAGCCAGGGGCCACTCAGACTTGGAATTCTTCGGGGTCCCTCTCACTCTCCTCATATCTTTGTGTACCTCAGGGTGTCCTGGAGAATTGCTTGGCTATTCTTTCTCCCAGGGAAGGGTGTAGGAGATGACATCTGTGCCACATGCCACGTGCAAGAAATATAGGTGAGCTGCAAGATGGGGGAGCCAGACTCCGACGGGTCTGGTTCAGATCCTGGCTCTGCCACTTCTGCTGTGTGGCCCAGCTTGTATTAGTAGCATGGTAGAATCCTCCTTTGAGGGTTATGGTGATGGAAACGGCAAAGTGACAGTACTGTCACATTGGCAGGTGCTGGGCACCAGCTTCTGCCTTGTGACGAGTATTTGCCGATGCCTCGGGTTTCCTTCTTCTGAGGCGCTTTCTGTTGTCAAGCCCGGCACGGCTCCAGCTGCCCCATTCTGGACTGACAGGTGGATTGTGTTTGTATAGAGAGAAAATCTGCAGCCTTAGGACATTGGGATGTTGGCAGGGTGTGGCCTCTGTAACTAAAGGATCTGCATTGTTCCCAAAGAGACAGGTCACCTCTTCCTTTTGAGCCTGGTTTTCCTCACTCTGAGTGCTGCCTGTGGACTGGGGGGGGGTGCATTATTATGCTTATGCAGCTTAATGCAGCATTCCGCCCTGTCAGCCCCCGCACAGCTGAGAGGACCAGCAAGCATGTGATCCCTGTCCCGCTAACCGCTATGAAATGAGGGTCTCCACTCTCCAAGCCCCTGCATGCCTCACCCAGGTGCTCCTTGGAGAAGATGCGGCGAGTCCTTCAGCTTCCAAAGTCTTTCGGGTGCCAGGCAGAAGTGCTGACTGTCCAACAGTGCAGAAGCCCAGCCCGAGCCTAGAGCAGTTGGAAGTTGGTAACAGTGGTGTCCATCGTTGCCATTGCTCCTTTAGTCTGGTTACAGAGGGTCCTGACCCAGAAAGGCCCTGTGCTGTGCCAGAGGCCTACCTAATAGCCCAGCTGGGAGCCAGGCACCCGCCTCTCACCCACCTCTTTACCTCAGCCCAGCATCCCTGACTCCTGCTCCAGCAGACTGGGATCCTGAGTCTACCATCCCCTTCCCCACTTTTCTATAAGAATACACCCAAAAGCCAGGCAGTGACACACGCCTTTAATCCCAGCACTTGGGAGGCAGAGGCAGCCTGGTCTACAAAGCTACACAGAGAAACCCTTTCTCAGAAAAAAAAATACACCCAAGGTTGTGAGGGGATGCCCAAAACCCCAGATAGCACCAAATCTTCTGTGTGTACCTCAGGGAGTCCTGGAGAATTGCTTGACTATTCTGTAGACTAGGTTTCTCCTGTACACACACACACACACACCTACAGCAAAGTTTCATTCATGAATTAGACAGTGGACATCAGCAACAAGAAATGACACAGCAGGGGTTGTCACAGGGTTATTGTCACAAAGGTTACATGAATGTAGTCTGTCCTAGCCAGGGTTACTGTGGCTTCATGAATTAAACAGTGGTCATCAGCAACAAGAAATGACACAGCAGGGGTTGTCACAGGGTTGTTGTCACAAAGGTTACATGAATGTAGTCTGTCCTAGCCAGGGTTACTGTGACTGTACCAAAGCAACTTGGGGAGGAAAGGGTTTATTTCGTTTACACTTCCACAGTACTGTTCATCATGGAAGGAAGTCAGGACAGGAACTCAAGCAGGGTAGGAACCTGGACGCAGGGGCTGATGGGAGAGACCATGGAGGGATGCTGCTTACTAGCTTGTTCCTCATGGCTCGCTCAGACTTATTTCTTATAGAGCCCAAGACCCCCAGCCTAGGAATGACACTACCCACAATGGACTGGACCCTCCCCTACCAATCACTAACTCAGGAAATATGACCAGGCTAGCCTTGAACTCAGAGACCCACCTGCCTCTGCCTCCCAAGTGCTGGGGTTAAAGGTGTGTACCACCACCACTCAGCCCTACAGCTGGGTCTTTTTGGGGGGGGGGTTCGAGGCAGGGTTTCTCTGTGTAGCTTTGGAGGCTGTCCTAGAACTAGCTCTTGTAGACCAGGCTGGTCTTGAACTCACAGAGATCCAGCCAGATCTTATGGAGGCATTTTCTCAATTGATGATCCTTTTCAGATAACCCTAGCTTATGCCAAGATGACATAAACCCTAGCCAGCCGATCGTGTGTGTGCTCCCCCCCCCAGCAAGGCTGATAATGTTTCCCGCTGACCATGAGTAACAAACTGCAAAAAGCTGAATTGCAGTTAAGGGACACAGTAGCTGCTGCACTGTGGGCCAGTGTTGAAGACCAGGTAAACTTCATCCTCAAAGGGCCCTGACTGCATTTTGTGAGGGGTACTTTGTAGCCTAGAGAGTTTAATTCTCTTACCCAGTGTCGCACAGATAGCAAGAGGGTTCCAATCAAAACATCTGGCTGCAGAGCTGACATGGCAAGCCACACCCCTCTTGTAGATTCTTTTAGGAGCACGTGGTAAACATGCCCATCTCCTGTCAGCCAGCCAGTGCTTGTCTGTTAGGACCAGATTGGGAAAAAGAGACCGCTCAGGAGATATGGTTGGATACAGCCTCCCTGGCCTCTCCCTTCCTAGGGAACCCCAACCTTGGAAGATTCTAACAAGATCTCGTTCCACATTTCCCACCATCCCCTGCGAGATAAACTAGAAACCATTGGAGGCTGCGGTGTCAGTAATGCTAGTGAAGGGCTCTGATTGGCTCAGCTTCTATGTCAGTAATATGCTAGTGAAGGTCTCTGATTGGCTCAGCTTATAGTCAGTCTCTGGCTGGAAGGAGAGGTCAGGGGGCCACTGTGGAAGTCCTTCCTTTCAGAGTTATGGTGGGCAAGATGGGCTTTCAGAGGAAGAGAGGCTTTGGCCAGAGAAACGAGTATTGTTCTGGGCCTGTGAGAATCTTGTAGGAGTGAGGGCGCTGAGCAGGAAGCTCAGAAGACTGCATTTGCAGTTGAGGTTTGGGGTGATGGAGGGAGAAGAGAGGCAAAGAAGGCCCCAGTAGTCAGCTGAGGATAATGGGGAGCCTGTTAGCAAGCAGGCTTTGTTAAGAGGCTTCAGAAAATAAAGTGGAAAATTTGTCACAGTAGACTAGTCCTTCCGGTTTGGTGACTAGATAACAAAGGCCAGCTTTAACAGAGGAATGAAGCTCTGTGACCACATTAGCGTCTTGTCACCTTCCTCCATGGCACCTCCGGGAGAGCAAACCATCCTGTACGTAAACACCTCCTGCTAATGAGCCCAGCCTGGCTGGCCACTGGCTGCTGCAACCCTGCTGCTCCAGAGGAAGATGGCCTTTGGGAGCACTGGGCAGGGCAGGAGCCTCCCTCCTCCCTTCCTCACCCCTGCTCCAGCAGGTCACAGCCTTGCTTCTCCAGGCTTGCTTCCTGTTGGCCCCACAAAGGTCCTGGCTACTGTCATGTGGTGTTTGGTGTTTTCACCCTGCAGTG